GATGTTGGACATTAATTAATTAATGTTCACAAAGTGGTCTGAGATCTTTTTGTGGAAGTTGCTATGTAAATACTAGAATTGTAACATATCTATGGCTAGCTAGCTAAGTGTTTTAAGGTTGCCCATCCCCTTGGTATCTGAATACCATCCATGAGAAGGAAACACAAAACCGCCTCTCTCTTTCAGCCCTGCTGGCAGGAACAAACCTAGAGTTAGCATTAAGGGGCTTGCTTGCTTGTTTATTTTTTCTTTTAAATAAAGACACTTGGGAATTCACTGTTGATATTGTGCTGCACACCATGGCCACTCACAACTTCATAACAGATCCCCCTGTTCTAACAGCTCAGTCCCCTATCACTTGAGGCACAAGAAAATCACTATTAGCACTATGATACATTTGCGCAGTTCTGACCTCCGGCTGACGTCAACACAGAACACAATAGCCAGTTTATGACAGCAACAGTACACAATAGCCAGTTTAATTGTGACTCAGCACCCTCGCTCACTCACCACATAGGCCCTTATTACGTTAAAGACCATACAAGATGAAAGGTGAGGATGGTCCTTGAACTATTGATGCTACAACTCAAAGTTCCAGTAAATAAATAGCCGTGATATTAAAATACATGGATGGACACCTAGTTACAGATCTGTCATAGACCCAGAACACAAATGTTTTCCTCCCCAACACCAGCTTGCTTGCAATAGAGAGGGTTGCTGTGTGGGAGACATCTCGATTCGTGATCTTGATACAGGCTTCAATCTTTCTTCTCCCATGAAGGGATGTTACAATGTTTTACTTTGATTTTTATAATGGTGTTTTTACACTATGTACTTATTTTACACTTTTTGAATTAGTGTTTACTATTTGGCGATTTTTTCCCCCAAAACAGCCTTGAGCAACTCTGTGTGGAGCAGCCGAGGAAGGGGACGGCATTTTGTAAATGAAATTATTATAACATCCCCTCCCTTTTCACAGGTAAGGGGAAAAAATGTAATTATTTCACTAAAGCATATACAACAAAATGCTGCCTTATTAAAAAAATATAAATGCAGAAAACAAAGTGGGTCTAGCTAGACCGAGGTACCATTGTGAATTTTTATGCATGTGTTACTTAGTTCACACATCCTTTACCCTGATTTTTCAGCCATTACCGTACATCTGTGTAACTCCCACTGAAATCACTGAGAGTTGTGTGTGCACAAGGAATCCAGGCTCCAGGCTATACGTTTATGGATCCGGTCACTGATGAGCCAAAGCAGTTTTAAGAAAATAATGATGTTATAAACAAATGATTCTGTCAGACGTGAAGGCCTCTGTTTTACACAAAGCCTTATATATTTCTGATGTTGATGATTGTTATTAGCCAGCGTCATCAGTGGGAAATGGGTGGACTATACCGTCCAGCCTTGCTTGTCAACAAAGATTAAACAAATTGTTTTTCAAATTCCAAAGAAGCTTATTAATCATTTGAAGTGGATTTAACTTGGAAGACAAACAACGTTTTGTTCAGTTTCACTTTCATGGCACCTGTTTGGTTTGTGACGTTCAATAATGGAATTGGCAACAGGATGCTACCAAAACAAAAAAATGTCCCTGTGGAGTGGAAAATCAGGTTTCTATTGAAAAGAGAGGAAAGAAAGATTCGCACTGCTGACTTCTCATTATTGTTCCCCAAGCCACAAGTAAAACTAGTCCTGTATCCAGGTGTCTCAAGAACAACCCCTTACTACAGTATCCATAACAGAAGCTAGTGATGGAGACCCCCTGTTCTGTGGAGTTTGCAGAGATTACAAATTCCACAGGACTTGATAGAGACACTGGAGCCAAGGCACTCTTGGGCCCTGTGCAGTTTATACACTCTGTAAGCTTGGTAGTCCGTGTGGGTATCTAAATGGACAGACATTCTAGACAAAGTGGGAGAGACCTACAGGAAAGGACTATCATTCAGTAATTAATTTATTTATTCAAGCAGACAGGGTTGGTGACAACATTGACAAAGAGACAGTTTAGTATTTGTGCATGAGATGAGATGGAGATGTAAAGATGGGTGTTCTGCACAGCTAAGGCACCAGGACAGTCTTATCTCTATCCTATGGTGTCACCACGCAACAACCATACAATTGTGATTAATGCAAAATGGTTTTGGTAGTAGATTCCATTGATTTTTAAAAGGCAAATTCATGATTTTTCATTTTTATTTTCCTCTTGTTGCCACTACATAGTCTTATGTTCTTGATATATTTGGATTTCTTTTAAGGTTAGCCTCAACTCTGAATTTCCTGGGTTAGCAATGCTTGTTTTGGGGATAATCACAATATCCCTGTAATATTTTCACCTTTAAATTATTGATAAGTGCTCAACTTTGTCTTAAGTTTAATATAATTTTTATTCTGGGAATTATATATATATATATATGTGTGTGTGTGTGTCCAGCAGTTATATACATATTGTATCAGTACGTTCTACTGTTAAGAAATCTTAACCCGGGAATAAATTCAGGCTGTCAATTTATTCTCTGTTATTTACCAGCACAATCAAATCCTATAGAAAATCTGCCTAAACATCAAAATAAGTTTAGGAAATATAGGAAGATTGAGACTCTAACACATGGTAAGATATGTTAGAATAGGCTATGTATGTTTGCTACATTGCTCATTCATTAGAAATCATTTCAACACATAGTTGGCCATAAGAATCTCATTAAAATAATCAATTTAGTACAGTAACCAAAGTACATTCAAATAGATAGCTGAAACAACAGGAGCCACTGCCCAAAACATAAGGGCTAGAATAGGAGTTAAACTATGCAGTCTGAAGGATATTCCCTGGGGTCTAAATGCAAACGCAAGAGGCTGGATATTGTTTCACACAGCTGTGTGTGTATGAGAGAAAAAATAGAAACAGCACAGAAGCACATAGAGAAAGCATCAAGGAAGCCCCCATGACAACCAGAGAAGTACCTGTAGTGTGGTCCTAAGAGAAAGAGAGAGCACTTTTGGGCAGAATGCTGGCTGGAAAGACGCTTGGAACTGTGAGCAAAGAAAGTCTTTTGCTGTTTGATTCCTACTGTGTTCAGGGAAACAGAATTTTGTGTACGTTCTTTGTAAATAAACAGGATTGCATCAAAGAAATAATTTACTATCATAATTTTCTCCTTCTAATGGAACCAACTTGCAAGACCGCAAGTATTGGCTAACTGCTTGGGTCAAAAGAGGTAACAACAATAATCATGACATAGAATAAAGATGAACAACAGCATCAATTGCAGCTGATATGGGGCAGTATAAACGTATTCTATGAGTGCGGGTGTACTGCATGCTATGTTCTCCGCAGCGGGGGTCCAGGCTGGGGCAGATGGGAGGGAGGTAGGGCGATGATATAGGGCACAAAGTTGGGTGTGCACAGAGGACCAGGGAAGCACAAAGATGGTCAGGGAAAGACAGAATCTTTTATCAACATTAAAAGCTGTAAGGGTAAACTATTCAAAAGCATCTAAATGACTCAGGAGCCTAAGTCTCATTGAAAGTCATTGGTACTTATGTTCCTACATTATTTAGGGGCTTCTCTGAAAAAATTATCCTAAATGCTCCTAGGTATAAAACATGACATGGTTAAAGTATTCCATGTGGATAAAAGGTTCCCCTTCTCCCCTCCACTGTTCAGTATTTCTTTATCCCACCCAGATGTAACTCACACCTGCTCCTCTGGCCTTGTTAAGGTCTGCAAGAGGGGATCCCGGCTTTGATGGGTCTTGCAGTGCTCTCTTCCTGGCAGGGCCGGCTCCAGGCACCAGCTTTCCAAGCAGGTGCTTGGGACGGCATTCAGAATGGGGCGACAGTCCGTGTCCCACGGTGGCAATTCGGCGGCAGCTCCTCTGCTCTTCCCGCTGTGGCAGCTCTTCCAGGCATGGCGGCAATTCAGTGGTGACTGCTTGGGGCAGCAAAATTGGTAGAACCGCCCCTGCTTCCTAGGGGTTGTATAGTCCAACCCAATTTAAAGTTTTGGAGTGCATGGTGGGGTGAGGAGTGGAGAACACAGCCCAATTCACAAACAAAAAGCTTTGTTTAAAAAGTGTTCAGATTGAAAGTGTGTTTCGGTGAAAGCCAGTCCTTGTTATACCAATCTTTGCACACATCTTTGCAAATTTCAGGAGACAGTTAATGGTGGGTGGACAGTGTAAATCAGGTGGGATTACAATAAGTGATAAAATATCTGGAAAAAGGGAACAGACTGGATCCCTTAACTATTTCTTTCTAGAATTTTTATACATAGAATCATAGAATCATAGAATATCAGGGTTGGAAGGGACCTCAGGAGGTCATCTAGTCCAACCCCCTGCTCAAAGCAGGACCAATCCCCAACTAAATCATCCCAGCCAGGGCTTTGTCAAGCCTAACCTTAAAAATATCTGAGGAAGGAGATTCCACCACCTCCCTAGGTAATGCATTGCAGTGTTTCACCACCCTCCTAGTGAAAAAGTTTTTCCTAATATCCAACCTAAACCTCCCCCACTGCAACTTGAGACCATTACTCCTTGTTCTGTCATCAGCTACCACTGAGAACAGTCCACATAAGTTCTAATTCTTTGTAAACAAGGTTTGATATTGTTTTGGGGTGCCAGCTGGACTTTACTGAAACACTTTGTGAGTCAGAAGACTAAATGTCCTCCATAGACCCTCCGTGATCAGCAGTCAGCTTGAGAATCATTTCCCTCTGCCATAGCATGTCAAATGCTCGTTCACTGTTGAGGCTCTACCCATGATAGTATAAGAAAAGAAGCAAAGAACTGCTGCTCTTCATTAGAGTTAATATTTGTGGATGGGTAAAAGAGAAAAATTACATGGGCAGCATTAAATAATTGTTTCTTGTCTCAAGTTACTCATTGTACATCTTCCTGGCAGCACTAGACACACTGTAATACTCATTTGAATAATATGCCAGAACAAGTGATCAGGTTACACCTGTTTAGATTATGCTACCTAGGAAACAACTGGACTCCATTTTCACAGCTTTAAAGCAGTTACTCCCTTTCTGGGACATGAGTAATTAATTGTTAATGGTACTAGAAAACTGCTGGTTCAATTTTAATCATCACCTGTTGCTGTTCAGGTAAGTAAGATTTTCTTGTTCTGATAAAATGTGTCTTTATTCAATAAGAAATAGGTTAGGGGGAGGTTGTGTGTGGGTGTATCAACAATCAGGATAATAGGTTTAAGAAAGTGTTCTTCCAGAAAGTGTCAAATGTATATGCAATTCTAATTAAGTGTAAGCCTTGTAAAATGGCAGTAAGTTTTCCCATGCACTGTTGATCTAACTTTTAAACAATTTAATTGTTACAAACTGGAAAGTAGCCATCTATGACCCACAGTCCGTATGTTTTAATTTAATTTTTTTTCAGTAAGTTCCAAAGTTGAAATCCCTTGCCTTGTGATTGTAATACTTTTGTCCTCTGACCACCCTTACAGGAATGACTCAAGCCATGTAACAACACTTGTTAATTCCTGGGATCATTGCTGTGGATACCATAGAAGTAGCTTTTCTTTGTAATATGAGAGCGTGAGGTAGACTGGTTATGGATTTTTCTCTGTGCTTACGAGAACTGCAATATTTATTGTGCAGATATGGAGCAGACACAACTACTTTGGCATTTTATGTCATCCTGGACATTTCAAGTATCATTTTTACTTGATTACCTAATTTACTAAGATTCACAGAAAAGGCGATGGCTGATAGTAACTGTTTCCCCCAGAATCAGTCCTATGAAGTGGAAAATAATTAAAAACACCATACTCTGGCAGAACATCATACTTGATAACTGCTGAGTTGTTAAATGATGCTTTTAATTTCTCAAATGCAAATATAAAATGTTAGTGAGATGAAGCAATGCAACTACAAGCTATAAAAAAAGAGCTCATCAGAGTTAAGCGTCTGACAAACACCGAGGAGGTAGTTTGTGGATGATATTCTCCCCTACATGCAAACTATTTTGATCTTTCCACACATTCTCTGGGGGTGGGTGGGGAAGGAGGGCAGGTGTATTGATTTAAAGAAGAAATTGTCAGCTGATCTTAAAAATGTGCCTTATTTAGATCTGAATCAGGCTGTTGAGTAACATGTCTAGATTCTGGTACGGTACTCATCACCATCATGGCTGAGTGCCTCAATATTTAGCAGCACAAGGCTGGGCTGTTGAGGAGTGGAGGTAGATGATTAGTTTAATTTTCCTGATGAAAGTTTTCAAAAATTTGGGCAACACTGTATCAATGAATTGACCCTCACGCTCCCCCAAAGAGGTAGAGAAAAAATATTTATCCCACTTTGGAGATGAGGAACTAAGGCATAGAGGGATTAAGTGACTAGCCCCAGGCACCCAGGGAGTCTGTAGCAGAGCAGAGAATTATACCCAAATGGTTTATTATCATTATTAATTATTTTATTAAAGTAGCTCCTTGATGTCCCAACCTAGAACAGGATCCCATTGTGGCAGGGAGTGTACACACGCAAACTAACTAAGAAAGTTCCTGCCCTGATGAGCTCACACTCTAAATAGACAAGACAGAGTGGAAAAAGGAAGTATTACCCCTATTTTAAAGACAAAGAACAGAGGCCCTGAGAGATTATGTGATTTCCCCAGGGTTACACCGGAAGCCAATAGCAGAGCAAAGAATAAAACCAAAACTCTACTGAGTTCCAGTCCAGGGCCACAACCAAATGACCAGCCTTCCTCCATTTACTTCTGTCCACTACCATTCCTGTACATATTTAGCAAGTACATATCCAGGCTAGTGTTTTTACACATTATACATACACATTTTAACCACTATTATACTGGCATGGGAAGTATGGAAATTCTGCTTAAAATATTGCTTATTATGGCACCCAAAAGAGTGCTAGGTGCCTCCTCCTGAGAGATAAAAGGACATGAGTTATGCTCTGATGAGCTTACAAGCTAATGCTAGACCTGATGTAATGAGAGGTTAATATTAAGAAGGCAGAATAATAACTCAGCATGCTACAGTGGCTCAGATACTGGACTGGGATACAGAGACTGTGTTCTCATCCTAACGCTACCATTGATCTACTGCATGACCTTTGGTAAATCACATTGCCTCTGTTTTCCCTCCTACCTTTTGTCTGTCTGTTTAGACCGTAAACTCTTCAGAGCAGGGACTTTGTCTCTTACTCTGTGTTTGTGACATGTCTACAACAATGGGGGTCCCTCTTTCAATGGCACTGCTAGACACTGCCATATTATAAATAATAATCAACTAGGGCTAGTACGCAGTTTAGTGAAGGTAGGTTTGTTTGTTAATGGAATATAAGAAGTAAATAGCTTAGCTGGCTAGTTTCTTGTAGGCTTCAAAAAACAATGAGTATTGAAATTTACATTTTTATTTCAGTTTGACTCATTTTAGGACAGACAAGGGGGTATCTGAACAATGAAAGACCCTAGACACAAATAATTTCCCAGTGTTAAATAATTACACTTGGCATTTCCATAGCACCTTTCACCCAAGCATCTGAAATCAATTTTCAAAGTTGGTATTATCACCCCCATTTTACTAGTAAAGAAACTAAGGCACTGAGGGTTGTGGCTTGATTTTCAAAAGTGATGAGCACCTGCACCTCCCATTGACTTCAATGGGATTTGTGCGTGCTTAGCACCTCTGAAAGTCAATCCATAAGTGACTTGATCAGGGTGACTCTGAATAGATTCAGGTCTGGCATCTTGTAACTTGCTCTAGTCACTAGACTACACTGTCTCCACATGGAAGTTGATGTCTCAACTTATTTTCCACCTTTTGTTTTCCTGTGCCCTCCTCATTGACTCTCAGCATCCACCCCATTCCCTTAGCATCTTTCCCGATGGTTTCCATCACCTTCCCTCCTCTGTCATTAAGCCACCCATAAAGAAAGACTATGTCTTATAGTGAACAGAATTGATATTTTAAATCAACAGTGGTTACACAGAAAAAAATGTCACCATTGCACAGCTTGCTAGGCCAGTTCCAAGCCTGTACACACAACTTGTGGGCCTCACCCTCACTTCCCAGGCTGACAATCTGCCCTCTCTGCTCCACCTCTGCATTCCACTGTTTTTATTGTACAGCAACACAATACTCCCCACTCTTTCTCTGTGTGCTCCCCTGGTGACTCCCAGTGTCCTTCCCTCACCAGTATCTCCTGAAAGTATCCCCATTTCTACCCCCCCCCAACTCCTGATGGATTAGCTCCATTTGCCATTGGCTCATTTCCCCCTCACATTTTCCTAATTCCCCATTCTCCTCTGTACAAAAGTACTTTTTCTACTGCTAACATAGTTAGCAAAGATGGTCAAAATCTGGGGGAAATTATTAATCAAATAATAAGCTATTCATTGGATGCATTATTCAATGCATATTATTCAAGCTGCTGTAGACCTGACTGAATTATACAATTGTTCAGTGAATAATTCATTCAACCATAGCATTATTCAAATACATTTTTCAATAAATGATATTCAGCCAGCTTAGCAATTAATGGTGCAGCTTTCCATAGCTTTTTGTTCAGCCTGTCTTTTCTAGAGTATTTTGAACAAGAAACTCTTTCCTTTTCAGCCCCCTCTCCTCTGCTGATTTGAACTCTCTGTAATGACTCCCTTTTCATTTCTGATAGAGATGATATCTTTCCTTCATCCCTTCCACTCTGGAGGCTCCATCTTTGGCCCTCTTCTTGTTCTCTTTTCCTGACACCCTTTGTGACTTCTCATTGCTAGCTTCGGTGCTGGACATCACCTCGATACAGATGATACCAATCTTACATGTCCCTCAACTTACTCTCTGATCCCTCTGCTTCCTCATTCAACTGTCTTTCTTCCTTCTGCTCATTTAATGCTGCACCAATCATTCTACTCTTGGATGCTCTAAAGAGTGAAATCTTCCTTCCGGGTATAAATCCATTTTAGACTTTCCCTTTGCTTAATGCAGAATATAATTTTGCTAAGACTAGAAGTCATCTCTAACTTGCTCTGCTCATTTATCTCCCCTCTTCTGGAACATTGCCAAAACTCCCCCTTATTGTGATCTCCCTCTTGTCACAATCACACCCCAACTTGACTATTTCAGTTCCTCTTTTATGGTCTTTCTGAATCCCTAGACTGTTCTGGATTTGACTCCTCACACAATGGCTTCATCTTCTCTAGTTGCAGGTCCATCTGTTCACCATGCTTGGCCTTCCCAACCCCTCTCCCTATAGCTGCTTGTCATTCTCACATGTACTGCTCCATCAGGAAGTCTACTGTCTCCCTCTCATCTACTGAATCTCTGTCTGTCTCATCTACTGAATCTCAAAGTCTAAGCCTTTGAAGAATGAATGGCATTGTACAGTATCAACCTGAGCAACAGTTAAAAGCTACATTGCCATATAGCAGCAATCGTGCATAAAAAAAACATGTTTTTTCCTTTTAAGGACACATTTCCGTCTCCTTTGGGCAGAAATGTTGCCTGTCACCCCAAGAAATGCCACAAAACAAGCTCTGTCACTCTATAGACCTGCTCAGCTGAAGTTTGTCCCATGGACACTCAGCCAGTGTCACAGGGAAGACTACAGATGTAAAAACACTGACATTTTGTTGCCTAGAGCTTGTTGATTGGGAATTAATGGCTCCAGAAAGTATAGCTGTGTGTTCCACAGTCACTTTATTTAAAAGTCTCATTTCAGCCAAAGGAGCATTTAATCAAGTAACTATGTAAGTAAGTCTTCATTAACTAAAACCCTTTTCAGTATCTATTCTATATCAGCGCTACATGATTTAAACTCTTCCTCCTCTTTGCTCTTTCAGTAGATTGGGGCCTATACATTGCCTAAGGGCTGTCTGAGAGTTCCCTCCAAGCTCTTATCCCCACTTCTCCCTGGACAGGTCTTTCCATTATGCTTTTCTTCAGCCTGTTCTCAGTGTAGGATTGGTGGGGCAGGCTGTAAGGAACATTTTTTCTAGTCCCAGTTTGTATGTAGGCACTCCCTGATATGGAAACACTGGCAGAGATTTTCGAAAGCAAGGGCCTAAAGATAGATTCCTAAATCCATAAGTGGCCTGATTTTCAAAAGTGCTGATTCCCCAGCTACTCCCA